TGTATATAATGCCTGCATCTGTAACTTTCACTTTATGCATCTGAAGAAGTGAGATTTTTACCCACAAAAGCTTATGCCCAAATAAATCTGATAGTCTTTAAGGTGCCACCAGACTCTTTGTTGTTTTTGCCTTTTAATTGTCTTCCAGCCAGTTGAGTAGGTGGTTTTGGAGTTACCCTGGATGCTGATTCTATCATTGTTTGGACTGATAATGGGCTGTCTTGTCAACATTTTCCTGTGTCTCAACTACAGTTGTTCCAAGGCCCTCATCCTCCTTTATCTCTGTAGAAATAACATCTTAAGATTTTGATTAAGGTCTCTTAATGGGGGAAAAAATGGTATTATAAGGTAATCTGTGTGTGTATGTGTTAATGTCTGCTGTTCTCAATAATACTGCGCGTTTCTCTAGTCCCTTTCACGTGAGGATATCAAAATAATTTGCAAACACAAATTAAATCTCCTAACTCCCCTATGAGGTAGAAACGTGTTTTATTCATTTTTTGGACGGGTAAACTGCAGTGCAGATAATTAAAGTGACATGGGAAAAAAGGTGAGTCATTGGCAGAGCTGGAAAGAGAACCCAGAAGTCCAGAATACAATCTTTAAACAACACTCTGGGCCTGATCCTCCTCATTTCCACTAGTGTAAATCAGGAATAACTCTAGTAAGGTCAATGAACTTGTCCCAGGATACTCATGTGCCTAGAGTTACTCTCTTCCCTATATGGTGACAGGTTTCAGAGTGGTAGCCATGTTAGTCTGTATCAGCAAAAACAATGAGGAGTCCTTGCAGCATCCCCCATACTAACCAATTTATTTGGGCATAAGCTTTCGTGGGCTAGAACCCACTTCATCAGATGCACAGAGTGGAAAATACAGAAGCAGGTACAAATACATGAAATACGCCATCCAGAAACAACTGACATCATAATAAAAAAAGCTGACAAAGGAGGTGCTGTAGTCATCATGAATAGTTCAGTATATGAATAAGTGGCTGCTAGACAACTCTCTGACACCACATTCTACAGGCCATTGCCTTCTGACCCCACTGAGGATTACCAAAAGAAACTACACCATCTGCTCAAGAAACTCCCTAAAAGAGCACAGGAACAAATCTACACTGACACACCCCTAGAGCCCTGACCAGAAGTATTCTATCTGCTACCCAAAATCCATAAACTTGGGAATCCTGGATGCCCCATCATCTCAGGCATTGGCACCCTGACAGCAGGATTATCTGGCTATGTAGACTCTCTCCTCATGCCCATATGCTACCAGCACTCCCAGCTATCTTCAAGACACCATTGACTTCCTGAGGAAACTACAAACCTTTGGTGATCTTCCAGAAAACACCATCCTAGCCACTATGAATGTAGAAGCTTTCTACACCAGTGGTTCCCAAACTTGTTCTGCCGCTTGTGCAGGGAAAGCCCCTGGCGGGCTGGGCCGGTTTGTTTACCTGCTGTGTTTGCAGGTTCAGCTGATCGCGGCTCCCAGTGGCCGCGGTTCGCTGCTCCAGGCCAATGGGAGCTGCTGGAAGCGGTGGCCAGTACGTCCCTTGGCCCGTGCCACTTCCAGCAGCTCCCGTTGGCCTGGAGCAGCGAACCGCAGCCACTAGGAGCTGCAATCGGCCAAACCTGCAGACGCGACAGGTAAGCAAACTGGCCCGGCCCACCAGGGGCTTTCCCTGCACAAGCGGCGGAACAAGTTTGGGAACCACTGCTCTACACGAACATTCCACACAAAGATGGACTACAAGCCATCAGGAATAGCATCCATGATATCACCTTGACACACCTGGTGGCTGAACTTTGTGACTTTGTCCTCACCCACAATTATTTCAGATTTGGAGGCAATTTATACCTTCCAGTCAGCGGGATTGCTATGGGTACCTCATGGCCCCACAGTATGCCAACATTTTTATGGCTGACTTAGAACAACACTTCCTCAGCTCTCGTCCTCTTACGCCCCTACTCTACTTGCACTACATTGATGACATCATCATCTGGACCCATGGGAAGGAGGCCCTTGAGGAATTCCACCAAGATTTCAACAATTTCCACCTCACCATCAACCTCAGCCTGGACCAGTCCACACAAGAGGTCCACTTCCTAGGCACTACAGTGCTAATAAGCGATGGTCAGATAAACACCACCCTATATGGGAAACCTACTGACCGCTATACTTACCTACATGCCTCCACCTTTCATCCAGGCCACATCACACGATCCATTGTCTGCAGCCAAGCTCTAAGATACAACCACATTTGCTCCGAACCCTCAGACAGAGACAAACACCTACAGGATCTCTATCAGGCATTCTTAAAACTACCTGGTGAAGTGAAGAAACAGATTGACAGAGCCAGAAGGGTACCCAGAAGACACCTACTACAAGACAGGCCCAACAAAGAAAGTAACAGAACGCCGCTAGCCGTCACCTACAGCCTCAACTAAAACCTCTCAAGCGCATCATCAAGGATCTGCAACCTATCCTGAAGGACAATCCCGCACTCCCACAGACCTTGGGGGACAGGCCAGTCCTCGCTTACAGACAGCTCCCCAACCTGAAGCAAATACTCACCAGCAACAACACACCACACAACAAAAATACCAACCCAGGAACCAAACCCTGCAACAAACCCTGGTGCCAACTCTGTCCACATATCTATTCAAGGGACACCATCATATGACTTAACCACATCAGCCACAACATCAGGGGCTCGTTCACCTGCACATCTACCAATGTGATAGATGCCATCATGTGCCAGCAATGCCCCTCTGCCATGTACGTTGGCCACACCGGACAGTCTCTACGCAACAGAATAAATGGACACAAATCTGACATCAGGAATCATAACATTCAAAAACCATTAGGAGAATACTTTAGTCTCCCTGGTCACCCAATGACAGACCTAAAAGTGGCAATTCTTCAACAAAAAAAACTTCAAAAACAGATTTCAGAGTAGCAGCCGTGTTAGTCTGTATCCGCAAAAAGAAGAACAGGAGTACTTGTGGCACCTTAGAGACTAACAAATTTATTAGAGCGTAAGCTTAAGTGGGCTGTAGTCCACGAAAGCTTATGCTCTAATAAATTTGTTAGTCTCTAAGGTGCCACAAGTACTCCTGTTCTTCTTTTTTCAAAAACAGACTCCAATGTGAAACTGCAGAACTGAAATTAATTTGCAAACTGGACACCATCAGATTAGGCCTGAATAAAGACTGGGAGTGGTTGGTTGTTACAAAACCTAAACCTAATTTCCCCAATACTAATTTCCCCCTAGTGTTACTCACACCTTCTTGTCAAGTGTCTGAAATGGACCACTCTCATTACCACTTCAAAAGTTATTTTTCCTCCCTTGGTATCCTGCTGTTAATTGAATTGTCTCGTTTGACTGACCTCACACTTGATAAAGCAACTCACATCTTTTCATGTATTTATACCTGCTCCTGTATTTTCCATTCCATGCATCTGATGAAGTGGGTTCTAGCCCACGAAAGCTTATGGCCAAATAAATTGATTAGTCTCTTAGGTGCCACAAGGACTCCTCGTTGTCTCTTCCCTATGTATTTGCAGAATCAGGGCAATGGCTGTGAGGTCAACTTTCCAAACAGTAACCTGTGCAAGACGGTTTAACCTACTCATACAGAAGCAAAAGCTGAGTGATATGACCAGACTCTATTTATCTTAATGTGTTCACTCTGAAACTTACTTATGTTTTAAATATTAACACCCATTAATTCTTTCACTATTGATCATTTTAGCAGAAGCTTCAAGCTGGTCTGGGACTTGCAGCACACGGCATCGTTGGCTGTTCTTGAATAGGGCAAATCCACTTTTCTTCTCCCAATCTATACCCTGTTAAAATTAATACAGCCAGGCATGCTTCTGTGTTTTGAAACGGTGGCAGCCTTTTCTGGATTGAAAACAGGATTATGAATCTTCCTTCTTTGTAGTAAATTAGGTTGAGTATAATAAATATTATGTTTCTCATTTTAAGAAGTTGTTTCTGCTTCTGGAAAACAACCTAGATGAGAGGCTTCAGTGAGACAGAGGCTTCTCTTCTTGGAAAGCACCTACTAAGCACAAGTATTTGGCTTCTTTTATTTCGCCACATGAATACCTCCAGTTCATCAGTTGTTGAAGTAATTCAATCTGATCAATTCAGATGATGGGTTTTGACAAACTACTAAACCTGTCATTAAGGGGAGGACAGGTTATTGTGACTGCTCAGGACATTACAGTACTCTTCATTGTTTCCTGCACATCGGATAATCTAGCACAAGAGGAGATGGGGAAGATACAAGTAAGGTTAGTTAAACACTGAATTAAGTGCAACATGCTTAAAAAGAGTGGAAATATCTGGTCATCAGTTCAAAGGTTCAATGTACAAAGAGAAACTGCTGAACTTCAGTTCATTTGCAAATTTGACACCATCAGCTCAGGATTAAACAAAGACTGTGAATGGCTAGCCAACTACAAAAGCAGTTTCTCCTCCCTTGGTGTTCACACCTCAACTGCTAGAAGAGGGCCTCATCCTTCCTGATTGAACTAACCTCGTTATCTCTAGACTGATTCTTGCCTACATAGATTCATAGATTATAGGACTGGAAGGGACCTCGAGAGGTCATCGAGTCCAGTCCCCTGCCCGCATGGCAGGACCAAATACTGTTTTATACCTGTCTCTGGAAATTTCCAGTACATGCATCAGACGAAGTGGGTATTCACCCACGAAAGCTTATGCTCCAATACGTCTGTTAGTCTATAATGTGCCACAGGACTCTTTGTCGCAATGTACATATTGTTCACTTACAAGTTCTGTTTGGCTTTTACTTGTGACACTGATTAGTGGAAAGATGCAAAACTTCTATATAAGACAAAACCATAGATTTTTATATAAAGCCACAGGAAAAACGTGGCTTCAGTCCCTTCGTACAATAATAGTTAAAAATTAAGGCCTTTGACCTCAATAAACAATTTTCCTTCACTTCTGACCTGTAGGCACTTTATACCTTTCCACAGCTCCTTTACTCCAGTTTTCTTATTGGCAATTACTTACATAGTAATTCAAATCCAATTTCAATATTGACTAGTAGTTTTTGTAAACTTTGTATCAAATACATACATTCTTACATGCTCTGTTTCTATTAAAAGCTCCTGCAGACTTAGGGAGAGTGGAAGTTAAAAAATATCTATGACAAGTGATGGTAGTGAGTCAATTATGCTGGCATTGCATGGCCCTCTGAGCTCACATTAAACTCATATTGCTCCTGGCACTTTAAAAGGAACATTTATATTAAAAATTAAAACAAATAAGAAATGCCTATAGTACATAACATAAAAACTGACTTTTTAATCTAGCCGTGGATCATTGCTTTGTCCCTTCATATAGGGAATGAGTGCCCCTGCGCTAAAGGGGCTGTTCCTGCATCTGCACCATCACCCTTCCCTGGGACCCTGCGTACCTGCATGCCAGTTTTTCACAGGGTTAGGGATGCATGGAGTTTTGTGGAAGGGGACAAGCTACATCCCCTGGCACTACCACCTATAGGCAATGTAGCAATCCAGCCAAGAATTAATACAGTTTGGAGCTGTGTTAGGTCTTGGTGGATCCTCCCCATAGTTGCTACTTAACAGCTGCAGCGGGATCCAGTCAACAGGAAAACAGTTCCTGCTGCCAAAAGAGAGGCAGGTCCAACAGAGCAGCACAGAAGCAGGAGTAATCTACATTCATCCACCCACATTGTTCCCTGCATATGGCTTAAATCCACAGGGCGGGGAGGCCTCACTTCCTGAAAACAACTGCCCCTTGAAGGAATGTCTATCAGGAAACTGCCAGGGAAACCTTACAGAGTTTTCCTGCCTCTCTCTCCCCTCCCATAAATTTCTCTGCTGGGGGAAGGAGGGGAATCAGTTTGGCCCAACCCCACAATGAAATGCCATAAAAGTCAGTGGAGTGAGACAAGGGATGTATTGTAACTAAATAGCCCAGATGTATTGCTAACATTTAGATTTAGATCTGCTGTACCTTACACTTAGCTACTTAAATTGTAAGTTCTTTGGGGGCAGGAATCATCTTTTTATTCTGTGTTTGTACAGTGCCTAGCACAATGGGGTTCTGGCCCATCACTTGGGCTCCTGGATGCTACAGTAATACGAATACATACAAAAATACATTTTAAGAAACACTAGCCATTCATATCACTGAAGACAAATGGATTCACATATTGTCCAATTTAACTGTAGACAGTTGCCAGGATTCCAGAAATCTATTGCCGATAACAAGTCTACTGTTCATAACTCCCTTCGCTGACATTTTTCTGATCTCAGTGGTAGTCAGTAAAATGATCCAGTGCATCACAGTACTATCGCCATAGTCTGTTCTTCAGCTTTTTTTGTAATACAGAGATTCCTCACTATTAAATAGGGGGTTTAGTCTGTCACCCTTCGTAGATGTATTCCTGTGCTCTGCTCTTACTATCCCTGCTTCCCTGGAGGTGCCTTCAAAGAGAACATCTTTCTACCTCTTCCACATGTCTCAATGAACTCTCTGTCTAGTTTAGTTTGAGGGATTTCTCTGCTCTTTCTTCTGATCATTTCCATTTTGTGACACAGGAGATTATAAATACAACTATTTTAGCTGAAGGTGACCAAAAGTATTAAAGGATACTCACATTCTCCTGTTTAGTAGCATCCTGAAGGTGAAAAAAAATATGCCATGATCTTGTATACAACTGTTTTTCAGATAAATGACTTAATATGCTGATATTACTTGTAAGGAGAAGTAATTGATTCAGCAGGGTTTGTTGAACTGATTGACTAACCACTGGTACTTCCTTGTGGCCAGGCATGGCATAACAACTCTTGCCTGGCTGAGTACCTCCTGCTGACAGCGGCTCTGCCTCTGTGGTGACCTGGGTCTTCCTGGGACTTGCCCCTTCAAAGTCTCTCCCCTTCCGGGGTAATCTGTGAACAAAAAAGAAAGGGGAATTAATGTACATAAACTGAGTTAACAGAGAGTCAGAATCTGTCCCTCTCTTCCTTCTGGGAGGGGCCTTTGGGCAGTGGTCATCTGGAAAGCTCCTGCCTTCAGTCATCCCTTTCCTCCAGAGCTGAAGGTCTATTCTCTTCCCTAGTCTACCAGCAAGTGAACAATTCTGCTTCCCTTTTAAGCTCTTCCTTCGGCCTGTGCATGCCTTGCAAGAATGGCCTAGCAGACAGACTGAGCCCAGAGCACTTCCTTAACCTCTTGTTGTCCAGTGTAGGGTTGTATACCCCATCCACTCCTCTTGGACTTATATCGGTGACTGTCCAGGTCATTTGCATGTCAGTCGTCTCACCTGAAAACAGCAGATTCACCATTCTGTGCCTGGACTTGTGGTACATAAAATAAAAAAGAATCAACCTCAGTGATCTAAATTATTATGTATTTTCTTTGGTTAGGCCTATGTGCATGTCCACTGCAGATCCAGTTCAGCAAATGTACAGACTGTCTCTCTACATCCTGGTGAATTCTGGTCTCACTGATACTGATGCAAATCCTGAGTAATTCACCAGAAGCTAATGGAATTACTCCAGATATATACCAGTGTAAATGAGAGCATAATTTGGCCCTTTTAATAGATTATACATAGACTGGTCAATACTTATCATGACAATACAGATATCTGAGCTATAGGTAAACCTAGTGTACCTCCAAACTAAATCAGGTGTAAAGAGCAGCCCAGTGTAGTATGGCAGCGTGGCTTGGTCCCACTGTCAGCTTTGTGATTTTATAACTAACTAGATGTAAAATTCCCCCAGGAGCAGAGATTAGTGCAAGGCATGCTGCACCACTTACACCCATAAGTGGTCTGTATGGACAACCATACATTAAGCAGCAGCACAAAAACACTTGCACATTCCCAGTTCACTGTGGAAGAGGTCACCACACAGGTAGGAACAAAGGATGATCACGTGGGCAGGTCAAGAGTGGGGCCACAGGATCCATAATAGCACACAATCAGTTTTCACAAACTCTGGGCAGGAAGGACTTCAGCATTCCTCCTGCTCAATGGCTTTATAATGCCACTATTGCCAATCCCAACCAGACATTAAAATCATGAAAATTGCTTAAAAATCATGAGGTTTTTTTTAATACCAAATGTTGGGTTCTTTTTGCCTTCTAGTTCTTGAACCTTTAGAGTTCACATTTTCAAGCTATTCTCTACCATCATAAGGGCTAACAACCTTTTCTTTTAAATAAAAGCTGAGATGCTCACTGAATCGCATCATTACACGCTCTAAGAAAAACACCAAATATTGTGAGACTTGTGATAAAATTGTGAGAGTTGGCAGCACCGTTTCACATTGATAAGGAGTCCCCTGCCTGCCTTTTTGGCTGACATTTTAAAGCACTCTTATAACTGTTTGGACATTTCCAGAACCTTCTCACCTACAGCTCACTGAACCTGGCATCATCTAAACAGCTCAGATGAGCCCTTTATAATAACAGGCAGGGGAGCCCTAAGGCAAATTTGCAGAAATAACCACAGCAAATTTTTGCTACTAAAAAAAAAAAAAAAAAAAAAGACTATTGCAAAAGAAGCAGGTATAAGAGTCTAAGGGCTGGTCCACACTAACCCCCCACTTCGAACTAAGATATGCAACTTAGTAATGAAGCTGAAGTCAAAGTATCTTAGTTCGAAGTGGGGGGTTAGTGTGGACCAGCCCTTAGACTCTTATACCTGCTTCTTTTGCAATAGTCTTTTTTTTTTTTTTTTTTTTTAAAG